AGCTGGATGGAATGGAACCTTTGGCCCTAGTTTTTTCAGGAAACTCCTACTGATTTCCACAGTGGTTGCACCAGTCTATACTCCCACCAGCAGTGGAGAAGTGTTCCTTTTTCCTCACTGACCCACCAGCTTTTGTTACTAGTTGACAGCCATTCTTTGTAGAGTGAGATGGAATCTCAGCATTATTTTAATTTGCATCTCTTGAATTACCAGTTAATTCTGTTAAATATTTTTTCATTTAGTTAGTAGTTGTTTCTACTTCTTCCTCTGAGAATGTCTGTTCATTTCAGATGCCCATTTAGGGGGTCTGACTTTTTTGAGTTCTTTATATATGGCAAAATTTTTTTCCCTACACTGTGGGTTGTCTCTTCTCTCTGTTGGTAGTTTCTCTTGTTGTACAAAAGCTTTTTAATAAGATGAGATCCCTGTTGTTGATTCTTTGTGACAGTTCCCGTGCCATTGGCGTTTTGTTCAGGAAGCCTTTGCCTACAGCAGTGTCTAAAAAGAGTTCTACCTATCCTGCCAGCTGATTTAGTGTCTCTATTTTAATATTTAGATCTTTGATTCATTTCAATTTTAGTTTAATGCATGGTGAAAGATGAGTCTAGTTTTACTCTCAGGCATGTAGAAAGCCAATTTTCCCAGAACCATTTATTAAAGAGGCTATCTTTCTTCCAGGGAACATATTTGGCTCCTTTGTCAAGATAAAGTGGCTAATTATGTCTGGCATTATTTCTGCATCTTCTAATTTGTTCTATTGATCATTGGGTCTTTTTTTTTTTTTTTAAACAGTGCCATGCTGTTTTTATTACAGTAGCTTTGTAGTATAATTTCAAGCCAAGGATTCCTTGCCTTTGTTGCTTAGGATTTTCTTTGCTATTCCAGGTCTCTTCTGATTTCAAATGAATTTTAGGATTGTATTCTCTAATTTTGTGATTTTTGTTGAAATTTTGATCAGGATTGTATGAAATTTATATAAGAATGTTTGGAGTATGGTCATTTTCACTATATTGGTTTCTTCTACGCAAGATCAGGGGATATCTTTGCATTTTCTGATATCCTCTTCAATCTCATTTTTCAGAGTACTGTAGTTTTCAATGTTGAGGTCTTTTATTTCTTTCATTAGATTAGGTATTTCAGTTTTTTGTTTTTGTTTTTTTTGATGCTCTTTTGAAAGGTGTAGTTTCCCTAATTTCTCCTCTCAGTGAGTTTGTTATTCATGTACAAGAAGGCTGAATTTTGATTGTTAACTCTTATTTAGCTACACTACCGCATTTGGTAGTAATGAATTTTGGTAGTACCAAATTTTGGTAGCTACTTGTGAATCTGGAAGTGTTTTGGTAGAATTTTTTGGGGTCTTCTATGTAGAGTATCATTTCATCTGCAAATAATGATAATTATCTTCTTGCTTTCCTATGCTTATTATTTTTATTTTTTTCTTGTCTAATTGCTCTGATTAATGTTTCCAGAATAATATTGAATGAGAGTAGTTACTGTAGAAGTGTTTGTTGTTCCTGATTTTTTTTTTTTTTTTTTTTTTCTTTTTTTGGCAGAGCCGGGGATTGAACTCAGGCCCTTGTGCTTGCCAGGGAAGCACTTATTCCACTGAGCCATCTCCCCAGCTCCTGTTATTCCTGATTTTAGAGGAAAAGTTCTCAGTTATCATGAATGGGTGTTGGACTTTGTCAAACACTTTTTATGCATCTCTTGAGATGAACCTATGGTTTTTGTCTTTGACTCTGTTAATATGGTGTATTATGTTTGTTGATTTGTGTATGTTGAACAATCCATGCATCTCTAGTACGAATCCTACTCGGTCATGGTGTATAATCATCTTGAAAATGTGCTGCATTCCCTCTGCCTGTATCTTACGGAGGTTATTTGTGCCTGTGTTCATTAAAGAGATTGGCCCACCATTCTCTTTTTGGTTGGATTCTTCTTTCATTTTGGTATCAGGGTAATATACCTGCTTCCAAGAATGAATTTGGGAGTATTGCTCCCCTTTCAGTTTCATTAAAGACTTTGAAAAGAAGCAGCAGTAAGTCTTTATAAGATTCTTGTAGATTTCAGCAGTGAATCTGTCAGGGCCTGGACTTTTCTTTGTTGATAGGGTTTGATTGATTGATTGATTGATTGATTGATTGATTTTTTGTGTGGGGGTCTCACTATACATCCCAGACTCATAGCGATCCTCCTGATTTCTGCCTCCCTGGTGCTGGGATTACAGGTGTGCACCAGCACGCCCCTGGATTCCTTTGCTGGCTCAGCAAGCCCTAGGGTGGGGCCAGCACAGCATATAGAGCCTGGGACTGAACCCTGACCCCTCAGGGCACTTACCTAAGTAAGAGTTTAGTCTGCTGAGCCGGACCAGCCCTGATAGGGTTTTATATATTTATTTTATTTTATTAACTTATTTGTTGTATTTTAGTAAGGGTCTACAGGGTCTCACTACGTAGATCAGACTCATAGTGATTTTCTGGTTTTCAGCCTCCTGAGCCCTGGGATTACAGCCTTGGGATGTAAACATCTACTGTGCCACCAGACCCAGTCTCAGTCACTGTATCAGCATGTCCCAGGGGTTGGGTGAGCATGGCATGCTGGGGGTCCAACCCCTGTCCCTGCGCCTGCCTGAGCGGGTGCTTTAATCCACTGAGCTATCTGGCCTGGAAGAATACAGGTTCCTTTCCTTTCGTTTTTATTTATTTTTGGCAGAACCGTGGATTGAACTCAGGCCCTTTTGCTGGCCAGGGAAGCACTTATTTCACTGAGCCATCTCCCCGGCCCCTTTCCTTTGTTTTTGTTTTGTTTTGTTAAGGTTGGCTAAGAATTTGTCAACTTTATTTAATCATTCAAAGAACTAACTCTTGGATTTATTGATCTTTTGTATCATTTTCTTAGTCTCTGTGGCATTAATTTCTGCTGTCGGGGGCCGGGGAGATGGCAAGGGTCTGAGTTCAGTCCCTGCTTCCACCAAAAAAAAGAAAAATTCTATCAGTTTATAGTTTCTTCCCTTGTATGATCTTTAAGCTTGGTCAGTTTTTCTTTTTCTAGACGCTTGAATTTGAACATTAAATTGTTTTTTTTAGGGCCAGGGAGATAGCGCATTGGCATAGCTGCCTGGCAAACACAAGATACTGAGTTCAATTCCCAGTACAGAAAAACAGAAGTTGTTTATTTTAGCTGGCTCTGTTTTCCTGATATGGGAATTAAGTGCTGCAAATGTCCTTTACAAGAGTGCTTTCGTTGTGCCCCATGAATTCTGGTATAGTGTATTGGAATTATCTTTCAATAGTAGAAACTGTCTAATTTTCATATATGACCCATTGTTTGTTCAGGAGAGTGTTGCTTAATTTTCATGTGTTTATGAAGTTGTTGTGGTTTCTTTTGTCATCAATTTCCAGTTTCATTGCACTATAATATACATTGGATAGCTTCAATTCCTTTGCACTTTCTTAAGCATGGTCTGTGAGCTAGTATGTGGTCTGTTTTTGAGAATGTTCCATGTGCAGTTGAGAAGAATGTGTATTTTGATGTTGTGGGGTAGAACACTGTAAACATCTCCTAAGTCCATTTGTTTGAAAGTTTGGTTTAGTTCTAATATTTCATTGTTAATTTTCTGTCTAGGTGATCTATTTGTGACATTGGAATATTAAGGTCCTCTAATTTTCTTAATGCTTATCTGATTTTTCACATTCATGAATTTTATATAGTTGGGTGCACTGGTATTTGGTGCCTACATATGTATTATTATCTCTTGCTCTTTGGTGATTTCCTTTATGTAGATGTAGTGACTTTCTTTGTCTCTCTTAATCACTCTTGGCTTGAAATCTGCTTTATCTGCAAATAGAATTGCCTTCCCTGACTTTTCCTGGGTTCCTGTCACATGGAGTGTTGTTTTCCATCCTTTGACTCTGATTCTATGTATTTATTTTATGTAGCATATTGTTTGATCTTGCTTCTTAATGCATTCTGCCAGTCTGTTTCTTTTGATTGGAGAACTGAGACCATTAACAGTGATGGTTATAACTGATAATGTATGCTACGGATATAGCTGAGTGCTACAGCACCTGCTAGGCAAGCGCGAGGTCCTCAGTTCGATTCCTGGTTAAAAAAAAAAAAGATGAGATTAACCAATATGTATTCACTTACTTTGTCATGTTATTTTTCTGTTTTTGGCTCCCCCCTTTTCCTCTATGTTTAATTACTTGCTTTGCCTGGTGGATTCCTTCTGTTGGGGCTCATGGAGTTGTGATCTTGCTATCTGTTTCTCAAATGTTCTTCAGACTCTTTTGGAGGCTGGTTTAGAATTCATGAATTTACTCAGGTGTCTTTGTCATGGAAGTATTTCTCTCAGTTTTATAAAGGATAGTTTTGTGGGGAATGTCAATCGAGGTTGGACGTTATTTTCCTTTAAGGCCTGAAGTACTTCACTCCAAGCTCTCCTTGACTTCAGTTTGTGCTGTGAAGTCTGCTGCTTTCCTTTCTAGGTGGTTTGTTTGTTTTCTCTAACAGCTTGTGATATCCTGCTTGCGCATTTAATTTCTCGGATCTTGACTTATATATTGTGGTGTGTGTTTTTTTGGATTATGGCTAATTTGGTTTCTTTTTTTATTTTAAAGAAATTTCATGTGATTTAATTAGGGTCACTTTAATGAGGCTGTCTTCAGAGTAGGCCTTTTTGAAAGAATTGAAGCTTAATCCAGCCATCCCATCCGCCCTGTAAAATAGTCGTCAGTGAGGCAGTCTAGGTCTTCTACTTCATTGATTATGTAGTTCAGCAGCAGAAGCACCTACTTGCCACAATTCTTCTATCTCCACTTGAATTATGGGCATTGACGACTGTGGTCTTATATCCAATTTTGTCCAGCAATACATTTTTGGAGCCTAGAATTTGAATTGTACATAATATTGGTATTTTGGCACATGACCTATTCTGTTATCATTCCTTAACCTTTCATTTGTAATACTGAAAGTCAGCATTTTTCAGTCAGTATTAGGCAAAATGTTACAGGCCTCATTGTTACCACAGTAAATATTTACTGTGATGGAAGCATGACCTGTGTCTCAATTTTAGCCACATTGACCAATTCTGGACACCAATCAACAGTGCCCGTTCTAGTCCAGAATGAGGCTTCCTAATTTGATTTCTATATACTTCACTTGTCTGTATTTAATTCACTTGGAAAATTTTCTGTCATGATTTCTGTGAGCAGGTTTTTTTTGTGTGTGCTGGGGATTGAACTCAGGACCCTGTGCTTGCCAGGCAAGTGCTTATTCTGCTGAGCTATCTCCCTGGGCCTTGTGAGCAGGTTTTTAATGTCATTGTGCAGTCTCTTGCTTTTTTATTGACTCCAATACTATGTTACTCTTCTTTGCATAATCTAGAAGCTGCTGGATTTTTTTTTTTTTTTAATAGTTCCTTGCTATTTTTAAGAAATCTTCCTTTTCATGATCGCTGATTGCAGTCCTGTCTTCTGGATCTGAGATTCTGTCTTCACATTGGCTCATTCTTCTGTGTGTACTTTCAGCGGAATTTTAATGTCCTCAATAACTTTGAATCTGTGTCATGGATTCCATTTCTTTCCTATGTGATGTGTTCATGGTTTCCAAAACTTTACTGAGCTCTTCTATTTCCTAAGCATAGCTTTCATTATGGTCACTGTCTCTGTAGTTATCTGAGAAATCATTTCTCATTGATTTTTTTTTTCTAGAGCCTCATTTATGTGCTTTGTCACTTTAGCTGTTACCACTTCAGAGTCCAGTTGAGTGTCTTTTAGAGTGTTTTCTACTTTTTTTTTTTTTTTTTTTTGCAGAACCGGGGGTTGAACTCAGGCCCTTGTGCTTGCCAGGGAAGCGCTTATTCCACTGAGCCATCTCCCCGGCCCCAGAGTGTTTTCATTGACCCCTGAATTTGCCTTTGGTTAGCTGTAGGTCTGGGAATGTATCTTGTTTGAGTTTCTTCTCATGTATTATCATTATATTCTTTTTTAGTTTAATTCCTGTCTTGCTGCTTGTAAGTTGCCTGTGGTGAATAGCTTTATTGTGGTATTTAGAACCCTTCGGAAATGTCTACTTCTTAGAAGTACCTTACAGGTGTAGCTTGCCTTTGGGTTTTGAGTCTGTTGCAAGATCCTACCTCTTCAGTTTATTGGGAATGAGAAGTTATTATCTACTTTGCCCAACTCCTGGTTCTTTGGCATTGGCCTATAGTATTTTTTTATCACCTTTAAGTACATTCAGTCTTGGTATACTAGGAAGAACACCTGATTAAAGAATTATCACCAGTAACAGTAGCACCAAATAGGGGCTGGGGAGATGGCTCATTGGAATAAACACTTCCCTGGCAAGTGCCAGGGCCTGAGTTCAATCCCCGGTTCCGCCAAAAACAAAAACAAAAAAACCCAATAGCATCAAACACAGTCTAAAAAATGTCTTACTGAGATACCTTTCAATTTGCCACCTTTAAGCATATAAACTAGATTTATGGTTCTGCATAAAAATCTAAAACAAACTAGAAAATTATATACAGAAGTATAAACCTCGAAGTGGCAGTTTTATCCTCCAGGGGAAAAATATAGAAGGGGGAAAATAGAAAAATAGAAGAGAAGAGATTAGAAGTAAGGTTGGAGGACAAAGGAAGATCATACAAACTTGAACTTTAGGAAGCTGGTAAAGAAGGCAGGAGAATACTAGAATAAATAAAAAGAAGAACAAAACAACAACAACAACAAAAAAAAGAAACTGGTCACATTCATACAAACAAGAACAATCGTGAAAAAAAAAAAAGAAACAAAAAAGAGAAAGGAAAAAAATAGAAAAATGTCCACTTCAAGGTGTATTTCTGATTTTCTGCCGAGTTCCGGGAGCCCCCAGACCCAGTCCTAGCCCAGGTCCGGTGAGTGTGCGGAGAGTTTCCTGCTACCCTGCGCCGGCGGGACCA